CCCTTCCCTTTTCCTGGGTGCAGATATATAGGTCCTGGTTGTTACGGGAGTTGCAGCTGGTAGGCTCCAGGGTAGATTTCAAGAGGGACTTTAGAGCTGGAGAAAGATGCTAGGCTACACTTAGAGAGGGAAGCTGGTGGTGTGAGCTGTGGCCTGGCAGCAGGCTGTGGTCGCTTACCAATGGAAAAAGGCACAAATGCATCACTCTTCTTAAACTGCCCCTTGTCGTCCAGGAAGTGCTGGGGGTTGAAATCTTCAGGGTTGGAGAAGAACTTGGTGTCTCTCAGCACAGAGCCCAGCATAGGGAATACTTCTGTGCCCTGAAGAAGGGAGGAGGAGGGGTGGATAAGATGGGTTAGAAGAAGAGAGTGTTGAAAGTTCACAGGCACCAAAAAGAGAGTTAGGGTACCCCACAGGAAGAGAAATGGGAGGCGTGGGAACAGGGCTCTTCTGAGAGAGAAGCTTTGGGGGGGTATGAAGTTAATGCCTGTGAGACAGGAAGTATGGGGGAGTAGGTGGTTCACGCTCTCTAAGGCAGTAAAGTTAAGGGACTCAGGGTCTTTGTCTCCTGGGACAGGATGTTGGGGGATGTGGGTTCATCTTTCTCAAGGCTGGAGGTTGGGGGAATTTGGGGAAATATTGGGATTTGTGTCCCTCAAGGCAGGATGTGTGGGGGACATGAGGTTCCTGTCCTGAAGGCAGGAGGTCTAGGGAAATGAGATTTGTGTCTTTTGAGACAGCGAAGTTGGGAGACATAGGGTTGATTCTCCTGAGACAGAAAGACTGGGGCTACTGGAGACACAGGAGTCTCGGAATGGCAAGATGCAAGGCACACAGCAGTTGCATGATTCTTTGATGGAGGGTGTGGGATAGGGATTGGAAATCTATTGATGGGGATGGGGTGCTAGGGTCCCAGGGAGTGGCTCAGAGGTCAGCACCTTGGGGAGGAAAAAGTCCCGAAATTTGGTGTCCTTGATGACCCTGCGAGACACGCCCATGGGAATCATGTCTCCAAATCTTTGGATCTCGTGGATCACGGCCTCTGTGTAGGGCATCTGGGCGCGGTCCTCAAACTTGGGCTGCCGGTTCCTGCCAATCACCCGGTCAATCTCCTCATGGAGTTTGGCTGAGGGAAAAGGAAGACGGTATTTAGGTACCCAGTGGCTGGAGAACAGGCACGACAATCCAAACACGTAAACCTGGGTGAATGGCAAGCACCTACATACGACACCCCCTTAGACCATTCAGAACAGCCAAAGGCCACACACATTGTGGCAGCAGGGTCTTGTTAACTTGATCATACCAGATGGGAGCCGCAAGTCAGGGGCCCTAGGGAGTGCCTGGGGAGCGGGCAGTGGGACTTAGTGGGCTTAGCAGAGGAGCAATTTGCTAACTGGTTCACACACTTCCAATATTTTCATGGCTACTTGGCTGATGCCTATCCACTGAATATCCCCCACCCCTGGCCAAGGACCTGAGAGAGGTGGAGTCAGTGGAGCTGGCTCAGAGGAGTTTGAAGGGTCTATGGCCTCCACTCCCCTGTCCCTGCAGCCTTACCCTCCACCTCTGGGTGCTTCATGAGCATCAGGAAGCCATAGCGCATGGTCGTGCTGATGGTCTCGGTGCCAGCAAAGAAGAGGTTCACTGTGGTCATCACCAGGTTATTCATGAAGAACTCTGTGTTGGGGTTATTTTTCTCCTGAAAGGAGAGAGGCCTTCAGGCCAAGTCCCAAAGTCTTCCCTTTGGGGCCCTTCTGAGGTTTTACCTTGGACCATCTCTCTTAGGTCCAGACCTAAGGTGAGAGGAGGGGGCCTAGATTTGCTGGGCTCTGCCCAGGTTTCAGGCTTTTGAGTAAAATTCTGGCTTTGTCCAAAATGCTCTTCTCATGTGCTTTGTACTGACAACTATCTATTCTTTAGTGACAAGGCCAGTTGTCAGTTTTTCAATTATAGGGTATTTAGAAAGACAGGGGTGGAGAGAGACTGAGAAAGATGGGCAGAGATGTCAACATGGAGTAATTCAGGAGCATTAGAGATAGTTTTTCTGAAACAAAGAATTTTAAGCAACAGCATCTGTTCCCCCAAACATAGTGAAGTCTTTGGAGGATCCCCTTCCTAATCCTTTGAACATCAGACTCCATAAATCCCTATCTCCTTGCCGCACAGAAAAGAGAATGACATGCAGTTGGAGGTGAGATCTTTCAATGTCACATAGTAAAGCCAGGTCACCTATCCACATGAGTGTGACTGATGACCAGGTTATAAAACATCAGACAGTTTGGTGGCTGAAAGCATCAGCCACAGAGTCAGAGAGACATTGTTTTGAACTAGGGTCCACTTTTCTTTGCTATGTGACCTTAGGCAAGTTACTTATACTCTCTGGGCCGCAGTCTCTTCACTTGTAAAATTGGGGTCATAATAAAACATTGTTCAAGAGCTGTTGTAGATGCTAAGTAAGCACTCAAAATAGTGCCTGGCTCATGGCAGCACTGTAGAGGTAGTTGTATGCACACGTTCCTCTGGGCTTACAAGGGCTGGGCAGATGGAATAGTGGTGTTTAATTATGATTGGGACCATGAGGATTATGCAAAGGGAGGCTAATTTGGGCCTCTGTTCTTCTGCCCTCCCTGGCCTTATTTCCTGCTTCCTGGCTTTGGACCTCCCCACCCTGGCTGCTGGCTGCACCTCCTTCATGCGGATAAGAAAGGAGTCGATGAAGTGCCGCGGGGAGTTGGGGTCCAGAGTGCGTTGGTTCTGCTCCACCTTCCTGGCCACGAAGTCCTCAAGGCCCTGCAGCTCCTTAAAGGCCTGTTGCTGAGGTCCTGGCAGGTGCTTCATCACCGAGTAGAACATCTCATAGAGCTGGTGGTTGCGGAAAGAGAAAGCAAAGACCAGACAGCTGTCAGTGCGCAGCACCCAGTGGGAGTAGGACCTGTCTCCAGGTGAGAAAGGCGCGGGTTCAGGGCAGCTGAACCCCATGTGTTCAGTATTTGGGTGGGGCTGGAAGGCAGCATAAAGTGTTCCTGTGGGTTAATTAGGAGGGCAACTGTCTAAGAATTTAGGGGAGATGATTGGAGCATGCATGTAGGTTGCAGATATTCAGGTGAGGTTGTGTTGGGAGACATTTTTGTTGAGATTTTCAGGTGGGACTTTATGGCGGGGCACCTATTAGGTGTTTGGGCATTCAGGCAACCTCAGCTGGAGACAGCTGTGCATATACTTACTGGATTGGGAGCTTCTAACCAGGTGTTCAGACATTAAATGCTGTTATTCAGATGGCAAAGTGAGGGGGTTGACTATTCCCCTCTTTAGGTATCCAATGGGCTGCACAGAGGGACCCCTTTAGGTGTGTGAGTGAGTTGTGTTGGAGGACGCTTATTTGGGTGTTTAGGGAACATTCAGTGCCCAATATTTGGAGTCTTGGTTGTGGTGCCTGACCCAAGTGTTCAGGTAATTCAGTGGGCAGAGTAGGGACCCCCTGTGGACTGGCTTGGGACACCATGATAGAGGTGAAACGGTGTTGGTGGCCTGGATTTTGCAGCACCAGGTATTCAGGCACCCAGGAGGGAACTCAAGTGGTCATTTGTCCAGGTATTAAAATATTCAGAAAGGTTGGGTGGGGAGGCTCTGCTAGAGATGAAGGCAAATTGGGCTGGGAACATCTCAGCTGATTGAAGCCATTTGTGTTTCCTGCAGGCTCTGTTGGGGACGTCTGTTGAGGTATACAGGTATTCTTGGAAACCATATATTGGACACTTGTCACTTGTCCTGGATTTGAATGCAGCTGGGGGCTGGTTTTTATCAATGGAGGGGGATGGCAGTATGGGACACAGGTTGCCCTGTGGGGGTAGGGGTGTGGCAGTTGGCCACTGTGGTGGCAGGGGTGGTGCCCAGCTGGAACAAGTTACCTGCCCGGTGGAGGTAGCTGTGAACTGGAAGCTTCCCAGCATCATGCGCAACAGTGACAAGAACTCTTTGTCCTCATAGTCAAAGCGGTCACCAAAGACAATGGAGCTAATGACATTGGAGACTGTTCGGCTCAGGTAGAAAGTAGGATCTATGAAGGCGCCTGGGGTGGGGAGAAGGTGGGAGTGATAGACCGGGATTGGAATAGAGCCAAGGGGGCCATCTTAGGCCAGTCCCAGAATCTGAGCCAAGGACATTCCCAGCCCCATGCCACAGACTGTGGCCACACACACCCTTTCCCCACCTAAGACCCCATCCATCGACACAATGCGGGGGATTTCCTTTTCCTTCTGGCCTGCTCCAGGGCTCCCAGCTCACCACAAGTGTCCCGGAATGCCTGGATGAGGAAGCCTGCCTCCTCCTGGATGCGCTCCTCTATCCCGCGCTTGCCCACTCCGAAGTCCCGCAGGGTGGTGATGGAGAAGCGCCTCAGCTGCTTGGCGCGCTCCCCGTTGCTGAACACTACGCCTAGAGGTGAGTGCAACGGTAGGAGGAAGTCACCGACAATGGAGGGGGCCAGCGGGCCACAGAGCACCCCTAAGAATGTGCCCAAAAGGTAGAGGGTTGCACAGAGAGGCAGGGAGCAGGGGACCATAGGCGCCGAGCTGGAGCGCTGAACAAAATGACAGGCACTGATCCAAACTTGGAAGGAGAAAAATCTGGAGAAAAGAAAAGTGGATAAGACAGATGCAGAAATTGGGGATACAGAGACACGAGGGACAGAGGGACAGAGTGAGATTGAGGAAATATAAAGTGTCTAGGCTTCTCAATTGGAAGAGACAAAACACAGGGAGAGAAGAGAAGAGGTCTGGAGAGAGGAGAGACTCTCAGCAGAGGGTGGAGATGGGGATTTTGAAGAGTCACTGTGAGGTTGTGACTGATGAAGAAGAAGGGGGGAGGGAAGGAGAGAAAGAGTCACGGGGAGCATAGAAGCTGAGGTGACAAAATCGAGGAGCCAAGAGATGGATCCATCCAGGGAAAGAAGAGAACAGGGCGACAGGTAGGGAGAAGCAGGGACAGACTGGGACATGGGAGGTTGAAGACAGGCCAGAGTCCAACACAGGGAGAGGCAACAGTGAACAGGGACGCAGAGAAGACCAGACAGAGGCTCTGCACAAGCTCAAGGGCAGCTGACTTGGGGCAGGCTGGGGAAACTGAGGCCACCAGGTGCTGTCCCACTTACCGTAGCCTTTGAAGAGCCAGTCAAAGGTGGCGTTCTCCCCTCGCCCGCTGAACTCCTCAGCCTGATCCACCAGGGCCTCCTTCACTGCATCGTAGCCACACAGCACCACAACCCGGCGAGTCCCCAGGTGGACCGTGAACACAGGGCCATAGCGCTTGCTCAGCTGATGGGGGACGATGGGAGTGGTTAGAGGGCTTGTTCCCTGAATTGGTTCAGTTCCCTCCATGTCAGGGATCTCTTTTCCCCAGTGTCTGACACTCAGATGATCTCAAGGTCTGTCTTTCCTGGCTAGGTCCTGGCTTCCCAACACTCAGAATTCTCCTGTCCTAGGACTGTAGCTCCTCAGGTTCAATCCTCTGCCACAAAGCCCTGATGAAACTGGGAAGTCCCTGTGCCCGCCCCATTTCACCCATCTCCCTGGAAGGTGGCACCTTCATGAGGCAGTTGTACATCTGCTCCGTGTCCAGCTGCAGGTAGTTCCCGATGAAGGGCAGTGGAGTGGGCCCGGGAGGCAGCTTCCCCCCGAGCTTCCTCTGTCTCCAGACAGACATCAACACCATTACACTCAGGCAGGCCAGCAAAGCCACCAGCAGCAGCCCTGAGGCCAGCATGGTGGCAGAGAGTAGGACAAACAGGTAGTGAAGGCTGGGATGGTCTATCTTTATACTGCTGAGATCAAAGTCTGGCCTTTGGTCCTGGTTACATAATTGTCTCTTGTCTCCTTCCAGCTACACCCCCCACCATGCACAGAGCTATTTTGGAACACAGCTAGCAAGCAAGGAGGAGGGGGCAGATTAGCAGGGTAGACTTCTGGACTGCATTTGTGACACCTGAGGAGGAAGCACCCCAGGACTAAGGATTGCAGTGGTGTAGGGTCAGTAGATAAATTTGAGAACTGAACACTTTGGGATATTTGCATACCAGAGCTTCTGAGCTTCAGGTGTGGGGTTGCAGAATTACAAGGGTCCTATAGGTGCAAATTTCAAGGTCTCAGAAGGAAAGGATCTCAAGGTCTGGATTTCACTGGAATAAGACAAGATGTGTGGCTGTGGATTTGGGGGTATTTTGGTGAGGAGGGACATAGATTTAAGGGTTCTAGATGTGCATGGCTTGGGGTGAGAAGGCCCCAGAGCTTGGAGTGTAGTTCCTGAGAGGGAATTCCCACAGGATTCTGGAGTGAGCACTTGAGCCCAGCTGTTTACCTGATGGCTGTGTGTGTGTGTGTGTGTGTGTGTGTGTGTGTGTGTGTGTGTGTGATTGGTTCTTTCTACTTATCCATAACATTAGGATTCATTTTACACAGTTATACAAACATGGAATATAATCTGCTCTAGTTCAGTCCCCAATCCTTCCTCTTTCCCTCCATTCCCCTCTCCACCTGTTCCCTTCCCTTTACTCTACTAATCTTTCTGCTATTTACTTATAGTTTTTTTAATTAGTGTCTTATGAATGTACATGATGGTGAGATTCACTGTGGTATATTCATATATAATACATAATAACTAGGAATGGAACCACCATATGACCCCGTTATCCCACTCCTTAGTATATATCCAAAAGATTTAATATCACCATACTACCATGACTCAGCCACATTAATGTTGATAGCAGCAAAATTCACAATGGCCAAGCTATGGAACCAACCTAGGTGCCCTTCAATAGATGAATGGACAAATAAAATGTGGTACATATACACAATGGAGTATTATTCAGCCATAAAGAAGAATGACTTTATGGCACTTGCTGGATGGAACTGGAGACTATCATGCTAAGTGAAATAAGCCACTCTCCAAAATTCAAAGGGAGGATGTTTTCTCTGCTGAAGCTAATCCAGTATAGTGGGGTAAGGGGATAAAAAAGTAGAAGAAAGCTCAGTGGAACAGCTGAAGGGGAATGCAGGGAAGGGAGAAGGGATGGGATAAGGAAAGACAGTGCCGTGAATCTGACCTAACTTTCCTGTGTGCTGGCCCTTGACACCCAGTCTCATCATGGGAACCTCAAGGTGGGGCCAGGATGGGCAAAACAGAATCAGCTCCTCCAGGGCCCATGTGTGGCTGGGAACCGGGTAGAAGACCAGAGTCACATTTCAGCGGGACTTTGCACAGAACCAGAGAGGAGTAACTCACAGTCACAGTGGACAGAGACTCTGCACAGGCCTTGAGAAAGTCATGACAACAAGAACATGGTGGCACATGCTGACAGTTTCCTGGGTCCCCATGTACAGACAGCCCCCCTGGGTTCCTACCTTGGTCCTAGGGAAGCCCACGGGGTTTACTGGATCATTTCTATGGTATTATTATTACTAATATGCATGCTTCCCATTTCACATAAGGTGCACTGAGGACAGATGCAGGATGAACATGGAGCGATCACATGAGAAACCTGAGGCCAAGGCCCTAAATTGCCCCCTGTCCTGCTCTGCTTCTCCATTTCCCCTTTCTGGATTTTGTTTAGTGGATGGGGAACATTTGGGCTGTAGAAGATCCTATTTGACGATGTGTTCAGTCTCTTTTAAGAGTGATTCCTGGTTTGTCAGGGACTATCATTAGCAGCCAGAAGGAACTGGACATTTGGGTCAGGTCCAGTGTGGGCCCTGTGATGCTGAGGGTGGGCGCAGAGAAGGGACGAGTGGCCCTACTGCCCTTCCCTCATTGACACTTTTCTTTAACAATAAGGACAGTCACCCTTAGTGATCTTGTTGTTCTCTGAGAAGATGGAGTCTGTGTTTGCATGATCTTTAAATCTCTCTGACAATGAGGTCCCTCATCACCCACCTCACTGACGGCACCTGGGTGATAAGTGATAGAACTGGGCTTTGAACTCTCCCCACTTCTCTCTTCCTTGCCTGACCCAGCCCACCCTGGGGGCCAGATGAGGACCAGGTGTGGCAGAAGGTGGGTGCTGAGACTGGCATCAGCAGTGGGCACATGGATTCTATTTGCAGGTTCAGATACCAGTATCTGGTAGGTGCTAAATGGGGAGGCATTGGGTTGGCATCGAGATTGCCCCCAGATAAACACCAGGGTGGAAAAGAAGTTGTCATTTAACTGGACAACAAAAGAAGATCAGAACCTCTTCTGGTACCAAGAGGGTTCCAAGAGTAGACCCAGGTGGTCATGGAGTTGGCTTCAGGAGGGAGGAAGGGTAGGTGACCAACCATGGAGGTTCTGAGGTTCGGCCCAGCAGATTCTGACATTGTGTTAGGTAGGTGCTGAGACTGGCCCTATCTGGGTTTGGGATTGGCCTCAGCTAAACCTTGAGAGGGGTGCCAGCAGAGTGCTGGGCAGGCCTTGGTGGTTGTACCTTCCAGATTTGCCCTCCCACAGGACAAATGGAGGTGGGCGAGGTTGGCACTCCCAGGACTGACATTTTGCTCAATCTCTTTTAGGCCACTGGTCTCTGGAACCTGTTGGGAGGGAACAAAGCAGAGAGAAAAAAAAAAGTTGTTTGTTGATATTGGAGGGGGAAGAGGTGGGGAAAGGATTAAGGCTTGCCAGGTATCCAGTCCCTCTAATCCTGATTACCGGCCTGCACCTGGGCTGGCCCCAGGCCTGGACCTCTCCTATCCCCTACCCACCCCCTGTTTTATTTTAGAAGGGAGGGAGATGTTTAGAGAATTTGTTTCTCAATGAAGTTGACCCGAGGACAAGGGAAGGGTTATGAATGTTCAAACAGGTGGTCAGTCAAGTGTGTTTGCTCTTGCTGATTTCCATGGGCTAAAGGATTCATGTCTGAAGTCACGTGGGAGTGACACGTGAGTGAGCTAGTGGTGAACCCCAGGAAAATGCCTTCTCCTTGCCCCAGTGAGTTTCCCTTTCTGCACACATGAATTCCTATCTAGATGGATTATGAAGAACAAAGTGAAGGCTTGGTTTGGAATCCTAACTTCTGTCTTTGTTGAGTGACCTTGAACAGGTGACTTCATGGAGCCTTGTGGGGTCAGGGACAGTACCTGCCTCTCAGACTATTTGGTTAAGGAACATATGAGTTAATGCACATTTAGTGCAAAGCAGAAAATGCTCAATAAATATTGGCTATGTTATTTGCTGGTTGTTATTAGACCTTATTAATCTGTAGGATAAAAGATATGGATGGGAGGGCTGGGGTTGTGGCTCAATGGTGGAGCCCTTGCCTGGTCCATGTGAAGCACTGGGTTCAATCCTCACCACCACATAAAAAGAAATAAAGGTATTTTTTAAAAAAAGATACAATAAAAATTTTAAAAGATATGGAGGAGAATTTCTCTCAGCCCTATCCTGGCTTTTACATTCTCTAGCCCAAAGTTCCCAAAGATTTTCCTTTGGGGAAAGAGGAAGTGAGACAGAGATTTTATAGACACCTCCCACCCTCCCTCCCCATCCTTTTCTCCATACAGCTGACCTTTAACCCCCTGGATGGGAAATGGACCTTCCAGATGGATGGTGCTCTTTGAGGTAGTATCTGAGAAGGGCGGGTGAGCATCAGTTGTTCAGAGCCTGCACAGGATTGTTTCTGCTGCCCTTGTATCTCACCGTCTTCCCATATCGTCCTTCCCTCTTCTCACAGGCTTTCTGTGTGCTCTGGCTAGCTGTATGTTGGTATTGTGTTGTTCAGTGGAGTCTCCCAGATGTCTCTGTCTAGTTTATCTTTATGTATGTCTTTCTGGGTGTGTGCATGTATGTTTCAGCATGTTCATGTTCATGTTGATTAACTTATTATGCGCCAGTCTTTGTGGGCTATGTGTTTGTGTGTAATAAGTGGGTATCCAGTTAATGTCTGCATGTGCACATTTGTGTGAGCAGCTGATATGGGGTGTGTTTCTAGACAGGTGTGCCTGAATGCTCACCAGTCTCTGCCTCTGTGTGCATAGCTTAAGTACCCATGTTTTGGGAGATCGTGTTTGGGGGATGTCCACAGTGTATTTTGTGTCCAATCTGGAGCATTACTGTGCTTCTACATTGGTCTGTATGAAAGCACAAGTGGGTGATTATGTATAAGTGTATGGATGTCTGTGTGTGTGTGTGCATGTGTGTGTTCTTGTGTACATATGGAAGCACGTGGAACATGTTGTGCACAGGTGAACATCTGATATCTGCCTGTGCTTGTCTGTGTTTGGATTAAAATGTAATCCTGGCCTGGCTTCGTTTCTCATTTTGAAAAAACAAATAATTCCTGTGTTTTTAAAGTATTTACCTCCCTCAGTTTTCAAGAGCAGGTTGAAAAGCCTCCCTGGGACAGGTGTGTCCAGGGCTGATTACTTCCCACTGGATACATTTAAATATCCTCCCAGAAAATTCTCATTCCCACGTATCACCACCCACCTCCCAAGCCATTTAACAGAATCATTCACCCAGTGTTCCCTGATTCATGTCAGCTCTGAGCTGAGTGGTACCAAGTGACCAGAAAGCCCTGGGCCCTGCCTCACTCAGGGCTCACTCCTAAGGGGAAGACAGACCCACAGCTCAGAATGGACTGTGCTGGGGTGGGAAGACACAGGCAGAGGGGCCCAGACAGGATGGAGAGAGCACAGGTGTCTGTAGAAACCCAGAAACATCACCTGACTCGCCCTCGTGGGCATAGGATAGGCTGTTAGTAGGGATTTTGTGCAGAAGGATAGGGAGGGTTGGGAGGTTGTATTCCACACAGAAGAACCAGTGTATGTGAGGGTCT